GAAAATGAGTCGCTCATGCTATGCTCCATTACCTAGAATATTTTGTTTTATTTTCTTAAACAATGATGCTGTCCTACATAACCATAAGATTATCAAAATCAGGAAATTAACATTGTTACCATCTACTCCTCAGATCCCATTCAAATTTTGTCAGTTGTCTCAACATGGTACTTTATAGCAAAAGGATTCACTTTAGAATCATGTATTGCATTTGGTTGTCATGTCTCATTAGTGACTTTCAACCTGGAAGAGTTCCTCAGTACTTTTTTAACTTTCATGATCTGGACAATTTTGAGGATAAACAGTTAAGATGGTAAATTTTATGTTATATGCATTATACCACAATTAAAATTTTAAAATATTTAAATGTGATCATGAAATTAACTTTCTAAATAATAACGGTTTTAAAATTGTTTTAAATGTATTTTTGTTACAATCAAACCCTAATCAACTAAATAATCAAAATTGATCAACACATTTGAATCTTATTCTTGGGTACTTGAGATTTTATTTTACTTTTCTTTCTACTTTTATATATGTTTGGAAATTTCAATAATAGAAATAGTTTCCCAAAAAGAGAATAACCTGATTAAATCTAACCAGTGCTTGCCCTTGCCCTTCATTCTATATGCTTAGAAGCCTCTCATTCTACCTTATCACATTTGATCTTGACTTTGGATTTTGCTAGCAACACAGTTTAAATCTCAAAGGCTAAACAAAGAAAAAAAGAATGCTAAGGGTAAAAATTATTGACAATAACTCTCTTCGTTGGGCCAGGCACAGTGGCTCACAACTGTTATCCTAGCACTCTGGGAGGCTGAAGCAGGTGGATCGTTTGAGCTCAGAAGTTCGAGACCAGCCTGAGCAAGAGCGAGACCCCCGTCTCTACTAAAAATAAAAAGAAATTGGCTGGACAACTAAAAATATAGAAAAAATTAGTCAGGCATGGTGGCGCATGCCTGTAAGTCCCAGCTACTCGGGAGGCTGAGGCAGGAGGATCATCTGAGCCCAGGAGTCTGAGGGTGCTGTGAGTTAGGCTGACGCCACGGTACTCTAGTCCAGGCAATAGAGTGAGACTCTGTCCCCCCAAAAAATAAAATAAAATAATTGTCTTCATCAAACATAACCACCATTGTTACT